TGACGCGCGCCGGGGCCGGCCGCTGCGATCGGCTCGACCCCGGCCTGGCCCTGGCGAGGCGCGGGGGCTGCTCTCTGCCCAGGACACGCGCGGAGAGCCGGCCTCCCCCGGCCCGGGACGCCGCCTACGCTGCGTGGGGAGGCCCTGGCCCGTCTGAACAGGGGGAGACTGGAGGGTTTCGCTTACCTGCCACCCTGCACAAGAGCAGAGAAGGCCACTGTCTTCACCCGCCTGAAGGACCTAAGCCAGGGACTAACTAGAGCAGAATTTGAAGGGAAGGGATAATTTCTCTGTCTCTGACTGACACACGCACACACACACACATACTGCAGTTTAACATGCATCATACACAAGATGAACGCGCATACGCGCACACTGCAGTTTAACATGCATCATACACAGGATGAACTGCATGCACGCATACACACGGCCTGAAGTTGAACATGCATTGCACACACAGTGAACCGCAGTTTAACATGCATCATGCATGCCAGATGAACTGCGCGTACACAAGCTGCAGTTTAACATGCATCACACACACACAGGATGAACTACACATGCACACAGAGTGAACTGCAGTTTCACATTCATCTCACACCCGCAGGATGAACTACACACACACACACACACACACACACACACACACACTCTGCAGTTTAACATGCAGCTGTGGGAGTTATTGTCTGAGGAGTTACACAGTTTTGTTCTCCTTCCATCCTTTCCACTGAAAAAAAGGCCCACTCATCTCAACAGGTTAAATGCAAGGCTGACAGCACATTCATGGTCAGTTGGACAAGGCTGACTTACAACACCCTAGAAACAAAAGGCAGGATTCAAAGAGATTTGACTTTTCATGCCACTTTGTACCAATTTAACATTCAAAAGAGGGGAAATATCACATCCTTTCCTAGACCAGTGGTACCCAAAGGATGTACTGTGGAAGCAGAAAAAGTGTGCGCTAAAAAATGGGTTGGATGGGGCTCTGGCTACGTCAGCACCACATACAGGATTGGACCCATAGACTGGATCTGGCCTACAGACTGATGAGTGAAGTGTGCTGCCAATTTTAATCCAGAAAAAAAGTATGTCCCAGGTATCAAGTTTGGGAAACACTGTACTAGCCGCTAGCCAAAACCTATTGGCCTGCTAGCCAAGACCTAGTGCCCAGCCCAGAATTTAAATGAGTTATCATAAGTCTAATGTCAAAAGTTACACATTTCTGAACATCAACTATTGCTACCTTATGTCAGGCCCAGCCTGTGGTATAGGATACAGCACTGCTGGCATCTATATTTCATTGTTTCATTCTTTTCTCTTATAACAACTAGAGTTCATAGAGGAACCCATTTCCTTGGGAGCTTGTCAATGTAAAAAATCCCATTAAAACTCATAAGTGAGGCCAATGGCCCTCCTAAGGCACTTGGGGATGTGTAGAATACCCAACAAATTTCCTAATCCTCATGAGTGTAGTGGATGCTATCTACTAAGGCCTCTGGAGGCTCACAGAAAGGGAAATGCCCCCCCCCCGCAATTTCTTTCCTCAACCTAAACATTGTTTGTGTTCACTCTTCCCCTCTCTTGGCTCTCCTGATATTCTCTTCTTCATCTGTGACAGGCAAACTGAACTATAATGAACCCATGAGATTAATTTGGTGGAGAAGATAGGGAAGTATTCTGTCCCTCCTTCCCTTCTTCAACTTTGAATTGTTCCTGACCATTTCCTTCCCCGCCTGAGTCCTTCAACTGTTGGTAGTTCCCTTCTGTGCCACGGCAAGGCATCTGCTTTGCTCCCTATAACTTCTCTACAACTTCCAAAGACCCAGGTCTGCCTGTCAGCTGTTCCTCTCAAAGACTGAGTCCTCAGACTCAAAAAAGATATAAAGAAGTACTTCATAGCTTCTTGGCCTCTTGTGGGCTAAGTCAACTGGGGGCATCCAAATCCCAAGACCTCTGGCTTTGGGCCTCCACATAGGATACCTGCTAATGGATCTGGGAGTATCTGAAATCCCAGGGTGAGAGCCTGCCATGGAGGATGCTCACTGGTTGTAGACTCATACATGATGTTTAAAACGATTGAGTTCTGCCTGCTCAATTGATACGGTTTTTGGAACAATTGAGTTCTACTTAATCAATATGATTTAGAACTAATTTGGCGGATTTGACCTGAAACACAAAATGTATTAATAATAATAATAATAATAATAATAATAATAAAAAAGTAAGCTCTACATATTGTGGAAACAATTATGTCAATGGTAAATATAATCAGTCAAAGTAAAGATGAGGAAATTGCAGTGGTGAATTCGTCAATATGCCTGAGCTACAAATAGCCATTCAACTTACCAAGTTATTCAGAGAAAATGGAACCAAATTTGTCTTTACTTTTGCTTTTTTTTACTTTTTAAGTTACTGTATGACTGGGGTATGCATTTCCTGCAGTCATGAATAACATGACACATGCACTGCCCATTGTAGTTTCTTTTGAACTGGAGTGTTTGCCATAGTTCACTTTGGGGTGTATATGTTATTGTGGCTCTTTGGTTAAACACTGACTGCACATATGGCTCCTGGGCTGTGTCACTGATTTAAATCTATGCAAAACTCAGGGAATTTGGGGCCCACACCTGCAGCTGGGTGTGAAATTCACCACTTGACCCTATTGCAATGAGAAGCTGAAAAGAACCACTGAACATAAGCATCCCTTGAACTTCATAAAAATCCAGTTTGAAATCAGATGTGGGCATAAATCCTGAGTGGGTCTGGACAAACAGTAAAATAACAGTGATGGCATGAACATGAAGCAGCTTACACCCAGCTGACAGGTGCATCCTTGTGGTATAAGACAATGCACTGGACTGGCAGCAAGATTTTGTTCTGATTTTTTAAATCTTTTCATTGAGAAGATTAGCACAATCTTAACTAGTATTTCCTGAGAGAGACACTGTTCACATTTTAGCACGTTATTATTCTTGCCACATTGTAGGTCACATCAGATGAATTAATTTGCTTACACAAGGTCTGAATTTGGTCCCATGCCTCTCCCGATGATACAGATTAAAGTTTGGATATTTGGACAGAAAAATAGGGTTATAGTGTCTTACTCTTACTGCAATACATTGAACCATGAGATACCGTCTACTCCAGACAGTATCTCCTGGCTCCTAGTCTACTATAGACAGTATCTCCTGGGTCAACATACTGCAATAGAGTAAGATGTTACAACCCTATTTTTCTGCCCAAGTGTCCAAATTTACAGATATCCAATGTCACAAGTATGTAAAATAAGTTGTTTCCTTTTAGTATGATCATACATGTTTAAAAATTAAAAATAGAATTTATAGCTTTCTGTCTCAAGGCTGTTATTTTAATCTGTTATCATAATGATTTCACGGTATAAATTGGAATAGTTCCATTGCTTCTATAGAGCTCCTACTGTTTACAACTGTTGAGAATCTGGCCAAGAATGTAATATATTTTGTATTTTTTTCATTATAAGAATAGTAGAATTAATTATCCTGATGCCATGTGTTCTACAGATTGATTTGCTAAACTGAAGCAGGAATGCATGTTTTACATTTTCCCTCCCATAAAATCATACATCAAAGTTTGTCTAGCACTTTTTATTAAACTGCCCCCTAATATTAAAGTTAGAACTGGCTTCTAATGTGTTCAGGGAGCACTTTGATTCTTACATGACTACTATATTATATTTATTATATAAATGATGGACAAAAGTATATTTGTCATGGAATTACTGCATTTTTGAGGTTGTAATTTCTAATCCAAGTCCTATTTAAGCCACCTCCTGCATGCATATACAACCCCTTATGCCCCAGAAAAAACATGGAGCACGCTACTGAGATGGTAGGCTAGACCTGGTGTCAAAGTAGGCTTTTCTACTAAATGTAAATTGATTGGATTAAGCTCCAGAATTGGGACACATTAAAAGAAGAGCTATTCAGAGTAGAAAAGTGGTGTATAATGCTTTCTTATTCAACTTTTTTTAGTTTATTTACAAAACCCTAGAAAACAGTGGGTTAGAACCTGGGCTTCTCTTAGCTTGAAATTCTGAGTTCAACACCAAAGTTAATAGTGTGGACAGACAAAGTATTAAAATGCTTAGATGTTACAGTGCTTTACAGTTTATCCACTGTAGAAATTTTATCTGTCCACTTTAAGTAACTGTAACTTTGCTTCTTTCTAGTTTAAAAGTAGAATTTACGTCCACTGTGCTAGTACACGTACAAAAAGGTGATAAAGGTATATTGGTTCAGCTGATGCACAGATCTCCCCCCTAACCTTTTAAAATGGTTTAATGTTATATCTGTCCATAGTCTTAGTTAATTAAAGTCTAATTTAAAACATATATACTTAG